ACTTCCATCCACTGAAGTTACCAAGAGATTTATCTTTCTGAAACTGGAAGAAGATGTCATCCCCAGCAACTTCAGTTAGAACCAACCAAGAAGTTTCCTTCCAACTTGCACTTGAAATACTGAATTGCTCCCTATTTCACCAGTGTTTAAGACATTCCAGGTCCTAATTTTCTGATGTGTTTAAAAATAACCAGACATTTCTTTGGGTAATTTAGCAAACAGAATGGTTTATCTACCATGGATTTGGCATAGATTGAAACAGGTAACATTTAGCTCATCTTCCCTAAACTCGGGTCATCTTTAACTTGATCGTATTGCTCAGACACTGAGCAATGAAGGTGAACAGATGACTCATTCAGTGATTAATAAATTCCAACACAGTTGTCATCTGCAGTGAAGCTTAAACACTGACTGCTGAACATCAAAGCTCTGCAAAAGCAAATAGGCAGAATCACATTAATTAATGAGGTTTGGCAAACTGGAGCTGCTCCCAGCTTCTTCAGTGCTAGCCTGAAAAATGATGTTTATTGTCAGAGTTTATTCCTTCTGTTCCTAACGAGTCATTCTTCAGCTGAATTATACACCCACAGCATTGATCATGCACTGCAAGACAAGTCAACAGATGATGGTTTCCCTTTAACTAGTTTGAACAGGATCTTGTGTTTGAGCGTAGATTCAACATTTAATAGTGTCACTTTCTCAGCATTCCCTGTATTTATGTACAAACTGCTGCCTTTTTTGCTAATGCTGACATACTTAGGAAACAGCTGTAGTACTGACACCCAGCTGGTGCTAACAATGCAAGTCAAACAGGCTGTCTTGCAGTTGGAAGGTTTCCTTTTGGTTTAGCAGATTTTCCCCATGCCGTTTTTATTTCTATTTCCATGCACCATTTTTTTGTGCTCAGGATCAAGCTTATTATCTATGAAATGTTCTAGGACTTTGAAACAGGTCTCATTCTGTACATAAAGCATCTTCCCTGTCAATACCCCAAACTGAAACAGCAGTTGGAGGCAGGAGCAACCAGGTCACAGTTTTAGCTGTTTAAGATAAAGTAGTAGATGGAGGAATGAATGCACATTTTACCCTCCAAAGTTCATGCAGAACAGGCTGCAACAACACCAGCATTCCTGCCAACAGGCTTCACTCTTGCCTGACAGAGCATCTGTCATCCGAGTACCTTAGATCTTCCTTTCAGCTATGTATTAAATGCTGTATTTTGCAACTTGAGCACCAGCTACAGTTGGAGACAAATCCACCACTCCAGACTGTTCAGAGCAGCCCATGGAAACAGCAGACTTTCTTGGTCATTTGTCCTGTGTGAGTGCTCTGCAACCCACTCCACTGGAAAACTGTTAAATATACCTCTTTGCAGAGCTGCTCCTTTCCACATACCTTGGAGATGTCAGGATGTTTCTGTATAGGAAATGAGCAGTGATTGAGGCTAATCTGAAGCAGGTCTGAAAATGAGCAAGTACACTTACGGCATTTATGTTTGACAGATCTCTCCTGGCAGTTGTCATGTAGGTCCCACATCTCAAGCAATCATTGTAAAGCTCTAAAATGCTCTTTCAAAGAACATATGCATTTCTGAAAAGGCTTTTTCTGTGTTTTTTTTCAGTGGGTTTTTATCCTGTTTGTTTCTTTGAATCAATAAAGTGGCTCTGAAGATAAAAAATATTTCTGGGCTGACTCCAGATGCTTTCCTGGCTTTTTTCCAATGATGTTCGAATCGGGGGTTGTTCAAACAAGCAAACAGTAGTTTTGTGGTTTACTCATAGAAAAAAATTGGGAGCTCTGGTATTTTTTTAGCACATATTACTAACAGGGTTCAAGAGGACCCTCTCCTCTGTCATGTGGTTCTGGCTGTGCATAAACATTGCTTTGACCAATAGGGGCAAATTTAGATACTTCCCAGAATGATTTGTTGCATTCTCACGACAGTTGAGATCTCAGACTGGATTAGATCCAGTGGGAAAATGTTTAGACAAAGTAGTGCACCAAACAACACTCTTGAGAGATGTGCCTGTGGTTTGCCTGTAGCAGAAAGTAAGGTTACAGAAAGACATTAAACAATCTCCTGTTATGATTGTGTGGTTCAGCGTGAACGACCTATTCACAGGGAATAATACTCCAAAGAGATTGCAGGCCAGAAAAACTGAGCAACCAGCAAATGTGCTTAGGATCTCTAACACCAACCATTTGGTTCAGTTCTAACTCAAATATGAGAGTCTGGAAACAGAAACCACAGCAAGAGAAGACGTACATGGGGAGACAAGAAAAGAAAGCTATTGCTTCAACCCCTCCTCCAAACACCCTCCCTCCTAGATGTCAGGTTTCAAGAGACCTTAGGACAATATTTGTCTAAAAAGCCCGTATTCCTCATTCAGTGATCAAACAGGAGAGGTAGGCATGTAGGGACTGAAAGTTAGAAAGTGCAAATGCAGCATGAAATTGGAAGCAGGAAGATGGTCTTAGCACTTCTACGATGCTGCACAGCATAACCAGCAGGTTGAGAGAGTAACTATTGCATATATAAATATCTATGTATATACAGATACAAGAGGTTCCACAGCAAAGTAAAACAGATGAAGAGTGAGACCACTGTGATCCAAACCACCATGGGGGAGTACCAGGGGCACATGGTCACTGTTCCTGAGCGGATGAGCTGAAAGGTCCCTTCCAACACAAACCAGGATGGAATTCTAGGAATATTTAGCTTTTCTTATACTCTTTTTTGCTGGAATGTTATCTAAAGCTGTTTAGAACCTAAAAGATGTAAGAAATTGAAATCATCTGGAAACAGCTTCTTGTCTGCCATCCATCACATGTAACATTACAAAACCTAACTCACTGTTATTGTTAAACTGCTGTTAGATGTAGTGCTAGTTACTTTCATTCACATCTTTGCTGTGAATACACAAAAGATTCTTTGTAAACCAGAGGCTAATCAACAGCAAAAGATAAATAGCCAGAATATGTCAGAATGACTTAGTAGTTCTTAAGCTGTATGTCCTCCATTGCATGTTTATTCTCAGTGTTTAAATTCATTTCTAAGCCAGAGGTCAAAGTGAAACCTCTTGTATTTATTTTCATAGTGTGATGAAATAAGCAGAATGTTACGGTGTTACTCCATGACAGATCATGTTAACTTACACTGCAAACAACTGCTTACACTTTCTCTGAGGTGGATTTTGAAGCAGTAACAGGATAAAGCTGAGATCACTTTTCTCAGTGTGGGAAGCTGATGATCTTAGTGGCTCTGTGGACAATCTGGTCCAGGAAGGAGAGGTTAACCTTCAAGGTCCATGGGCAGAATGGTTCGTTTGATCAGGGTGGGAAAAGTTGTTAGTTAAAAAACAGAGATAAAAAATAGAGGATCTCTGAGCCAACAGCAGCGAACGCAAAAACCTTCTTAAGCTTGTCAGAAATAGTTTCTACAGCTTTTAAGACCTAAGCAGGATTTCGGCATTACTGAAAAAGTATTTAAGCCTTTATTTAGCCTCTTCCTTTTGCATCGATGTAAGACACAGAGGGAGCTAGGAATGAAAAATGAATCAAAGAAACATGTCAGCCTCCTGGACTGGACCACATCATCACAAGGAGCATTACCTGAGGGGGTAACCCTCAGCATCCCATGGCAGCTCTGGAAACACAGACAGTATCTCTATAAGAAGCAGGCAGTCCTCTTATATGCAAAGACATAAGAAGTAAAAGTGAGAGGAACCTTGCAAAGAGGTCTTGAGACTGGTTAGTCTGACTCAGCAATACTGTGATGGCCTATTTTGAACACTTAACTCTAGTAAAAATAGTTAAAGCTGAATTGCTACTTAAGAGAGTTTAGTGTGGCAGTTGGTTCCACTATGGCTATCCAACTCATCTTACTTCTTCTGCATTAGATGAAAGGAATATGAACAGAAGTCTGTTCCCAGAGCATTAATAATTTGTTTTCCTTTTTCAGAGGCAGGTATGTTTGAATGCACTCATCACTCTAAGACTGCTTTTGCACCTTTGGAAACTAACACGTACTCAATATACTACCAGGAGTTGATCTTACTCATCCACACAAACGTATTTCAGGGATGCACAACAGGATGCTACGGGAGTCTGGTATAACACACAGTTGTAAAGCTATGAGTAACATTCAACCCAGGTAATACCTTCAGCCTCTGATGAACACAGTGCAGATGCTCCCAGCATCTCTATGACAAGCACATCTGTTGCTATTGGTCACATGCATCCTCTGGGGCTTGAGGATACACTCATGCTACCAGGAGTGGGAAATGCAGATCTGGGAAAGACAAACGCACTTCAACAGAGGAAAGAGTTCAGTCCCTCTGAATTATGCAAGACACAGCAACATGCATTCAATTGCATGACACAAACCTACTGTAGCAGCAGGCAAAGTGCTATGGAATGCGCTTAGCTAAGAGAGAAGGACATACCACCCCTTACTATCATTCTTGCCATGGTTGGCATATTTGAAATAATCATCCATTACCATGGACTGCATATATCCTATAGCATTATCATCATGCATCACAGGCCTTACATGCTGTCACACCTTTGATACTTCTGCCATTGAGCTGTATCACTCAACATGTTAACAACACTAACATAGATCAACAAACTCTGGTGTGTGCTCATCTCACAGGGCAGCCTTTTCCTGTTTTAAACAGTAGTGACATTCAGCAATTCACATTGCTGACACCACAGACCACAGACCTGGGTGCTGTTATGATACAAGCTGTGGCTTATCCCAGACTCGGAATGCAAGGTGTGCAGGCAGCAAAGAAACTTGCTACTGCCCAATATTGTGGTGTGTTGTCCAAAAAAAAAAGATACTATATTACTCTTACATTTCCACTTTGGTTCCACTTTTGCTGTCTACTCTTTTTATTCCCCTTTCCTTTCCCTTAACATTTCACCATTTTTAATTTCTCTGTAACATTTAAGTTTGCATTTCAAAGCACGCATATTCTTGGCCTTTGAAAACTCACCAAGAAATCACCTTTACTTCCCACAGTGCAGATCCAGAGCACCAAAGGAGATTTGCTTGTTACCTTAATAGAATTCAGAAATTGCTCCACAAAAATCCCTAAGAGAATCAGCGCAAGTTAGACTTGGCATCTGCACAAGTCGCAGCTATTTTTTTAAATACTTTGACAACACCCTTATGTTATTGTCTCCCAGTTCATTTTCTTGCTCATGTATTCCCCAAAGAAGGAAAGAATGGTATTTCTGTGCACTGAATAAGGACACATTCTGCTTGTTAGAGGGAATTAATTCATTATTTTCCCTTCTCCTTGGTGGATCTTTGGATCATGACACTTCAAATCCTTCTAACTCATGCTTTTCCACATGACGGCACGGATGTCATCCTACTGCCTCGAATTGAAAGAAATAAGAACAAAACTTCAGCAGCAGAGGAGATCTTTGCTTTCAATCTTTGTCTTTTCAGCTGGAAATTGCAATGACAGCCCTCAGAAATCACAGCAAGCCTCTTGGTTTCCTAAATATAATTTAATAACACAGAAAAGCTGAGGTATTCAGTGCTGGCAGGAGCTATGCTGCAGTGCATAACCCCACCTCCCTTAGGCTCTACTTTGTTTCACCTGTGTGCATCTAGACACAAACTAAAGGCGAAGCATCAATAGGCTTGCTCTCCTCTAAAGCAGCTTCTGAAGAAACTCTGCAGTCAGTTGAGAACACTTTAATTTTCTTTCTTCCATTTGATCTTCCCTGCAACATATTTTTCATATTACTCGTCACATTTTACTTCCATCTGTTTTCAGCTTTTGATTAGAAACTTGGAAGTTCAACTTTAACAGCTCAGTGCAGAGACATGAACTTCTTCCAGCCCTTTTCCTCCTTGCAGGATCTTAATTCAGTCGTATGGTTCTTTTTACTGTACCTCTGCCCACACTGGAGGCCATATCCTTAGTAAATGGTTTGCAACTCTTGCAAAGAGCCCTAACATCTGCAAACACAGGAGGGGTTTGTTATTCTGAAAACCTTCAAAACCAAATGATATTACTTCAAAAAGTTAGCTATACACAGTATCATTATAGAGAAGCTGCAAATTGTCAGGTTCATCGAACAGAAACCCATTTAAATGTTAGTTAACAGCTTCACCAATAACAAAGGACCAAAGTACCTCAAATATCTGAACTCGGTCCAGAATTCACTACAGAGACACCAAAACCAAATGGCCAAGCTACTGGTCAGGAACAGGAATTCAAAATGTGCAGTAATAGGCACTGTTTTGATGGGATAACCATGTCCTTCCTTGTGCAGGAACAAGGCAAGCTGGCAGTCATGTAGTCAGGTCAGGAAGGGCTGGGGGACAGTCCCATCTGCACCACTAAAATAACATCATCTTTCCCGTAACAGCATTAAACAGCACAGAGTCAGAACAAGGACTGATCTCCATCGACTCAGCTGTGTGCACCAGGGATACCTCTGAGGTATACAACAGGCAGACACGTAAACGCCCAACAGAAATGTGGATGTCAAGACACTTCAGTGATTTAGGAACAGCGATTCTCCCCTAACATCTCAATTCCAGCTGAATAGCCACAAGGGCTTAATTCTCAAGGACCCATGAATGTCACGAATGAAAAGCAGAGAGAAGCCAACACACGGAGCATGAGAAATGCTGTGATCTCAAGCATCTTTTGAAAAGCACCACAGACAGTTTTCAAAAGCATTCTGAAGCATCCATGAAAAGTTCTCTACCTGGACTGGAAATGCAGGAGACAGCTAATTAAAAGGCATTCAACTGCTACCTATGAGAATGAAGCCAACAGATTTAGACTTCCTACATTTCTGAGCAACCAAACCAAGAGAGCTAAAGAAAGAAAGAAAGCAGCATTCTGATCACAGTGCTAGGAAGAAGCAAGTGTCTGTACTCATCCTGCTTCTGTCACTTGTATATTTTTTTGTCTACTTTCTGAGCCTGGTACTGCACTATTTGGGCTGCACTTTTATATTATTCTTTGCCATATTTGTTTGCAAAGCTCATAGTTGAAAGATTTGACACATATGTAGGACATATGAGGAGATATCCTGGCATTATCTTATGTTTACAACTCAGAGAGGGGTAAGAGAACTCAAAGTTGGTCTGGATGGATCCCTAGAGATCCCCACCTTTCTTGGGAAACACAATCCAGAAGTGCCTGTGTGAGTGCTGTCACGTTCACCTCACAAATATCTGCCTATAACACACAGTATATTTGCCTCTTTCCCTAAAGCCTTCTCTGCTCAGCTTGTAGCATCTCCCAGATTCTTCACTACGGACCTTACCTGCCATTTACTTCCATGTGTGATGTTGCTTATTCTTACAAAAGTGCATGATTTTTTATGTCATTCTTAAGTTATAGCTGCTCTTTTAGAGGTTTTCTGTCAGTCATTTATAATCCTGCTTCTGTCCTTCTCCATTCTGGCAGCTCTTTGCAGCCTGTTCTCATTCACAAATTGCTTACAGAGTTTCCATTGTAGTACCCACGTTATGTTCAACAGAATACTGGCCAACAGCACATTAACTGCCATCTACCCCAGTAACTTCACTTGATACATCCTTGTATGTGCCAAGAAGCGCAAGTAACTGATGCAGGTTATTTTACTGAAAACATTCAAGGAAAACCCCTCATTTTCCAGTAACTTGTCACAGATCTTTGGTCACATTTGTCTTTTCTTCAGCTATATAGCTTAGACAAAACCTGAAATGCTAATTCTTTGTAACAGGTTACAATTTGGAAACCAGATCTGCTCCCATCTCTGCCCATTTGTTCTAATTACCTCTTGTCCAAATCAAACCAGATGCTCTCACATGGTGGTGTCAGGAGGTTTTCTTTCTGCATGCTTTTCCACAAACAGAGCACTACTCTGTAATGTAGCTGGAAAGCTGACAGTTCCACACATCCTAAGGCTCCTCATAGTCAGTCTCCTCTATGTTTGACCTCAACAACTGGAAGGACTCCTACGTTAAGAGCTCTGTAAAGAACTGTTTGTGTTTCTTATCTTCCAAAGAAGTTTTTGCACTAGTTCCTTCCTTTGTGTCAAATTCATCTCCCAACTGCATGTGCAACCCAGCAGTTTTGGTCATTCTAATACTTACTTCCATTGTTCTGTTATTCTTCCTCACTTCTCTTTTTCTTTCCACATTCTATGCCTTCCCTGATGCCAATTTCAGCTGTTTGTCTAAGAAAGCTCATGTTCCACACTGCAGACAGCAGCAGGCCACCCATGCAGCAGCACAGGAAGCCCAAAAGAAGCTGTGCTATTAAACGGCTTAAGTACAACTAACTTAAGGATCATCTTGGAAGTGCAATTCAGCACCCCAGAATTTCACTAAACTTCCATTTCTGTTCTCCATTCTACCCCAAAATATTAAGACAGGAGGAACTTCACCACAAACTCCAAGTCACGTTTTTGCTTTAAAGTGCACATGTATATTTAAAAAACTCCACTCAGCAGAAGGAAGGGGATTCCTTCTTAGTCCAGACACAGAAAGCTCCTCCTAGATAGGCAAATGCTCTTCAGTCTTAAGCTCCATCTTCTAAGCAGATGAAGTTGTGCAGTTACACAATAATGCAATACAATAATGCAAAACCATAGTGAGCATTAACTCACTGTAGCTTGCAGCATCATTTCACTGACATCTGTGAGAGAAGACACCATGAACTGGAGTTCAGTTGTATCTGGTGTCAGGGCATAAGCACTGTTTGAAACTCAGCCAGTCAAATAAAAGCCTGTTTTGGAGACAGCTGCCAATTCCCCAGCAAAGTTTGATTTACAAATACATTACAGTCATCTGCTGGAAGTGCTTTTCCAGTTGTGCTGTGCAACAACATCTGGAATTAGCCTCTGCTAACAACGGATTCTATGAACAAGCAGAGAGTAAATGCTGAAGGAACCACCCTGCTCCGGGGCTGAGCTCCAGGACCTCAGCCTCAAAGTGGTGGGTCCAGATGCTAACGGAGGCCTCGATCTCAGAGAGATAAAGCTCACTTTCTATAGTTGCTCAGTCAATAAAACTGCAGACAGTGAACAGGTTAACTTGAGGGTGTGTAAAATAGGGGGAACTAATGGGTGCTGTTAGTCCCTGGCTGCTGCTGGCAAGTTGAAAGCCCATAGTACCATCAGTGGCACGGTGTATTCATACACAGGGGATCCTGCTTTTTAATTCATGGAATTTTATGATCACATCTTTTTTTTTTTTTTTGTCTTGGTGAACAAGGGAAACATTGGATTACAGAGGAAAGCTCAAAATCGTTATCTCCATAAACACTAAATATGAAAAAACTATTTTTAAGAAGGCTACGTGGATAAATCATGATCTGACTTATGAGTTCAGAGCACTTCAGCCTAGGGTTGTTGATTCTCAAAGACGGCCAGTAATTAAGCTCAAAGACCTTGTTTTCATTGTGTGCTCCCAAAGAACAATGAACACTTGGGTCATGATACAATCAAAATCTCAAATCCTTATAGTACAGAACTTCCGCCTAAGAGCTCATCTCAATCTCCACTGTTCAGGCAGGTTAAAGCCATTCCCCCTTGGCCTGTCCCTATAAGCCCTTATCCAAAGCCCTTCTCCAAGTTTCTTGTAGCCCCTTTAGGCACTGGAGATGCTCTGAGGTTTCCCCAGAGCCTTCTCTTCTCCAGGCTGAACCAGCCCAGCTCTCTCAGCCTGGCTCCATAGGAGAAAGGGGTTTGGAATTTCCATAAAACCAATCATTTTAGGGCATCACACTGTACTTGGGGAGGGGACAGAACTGGAGCAAGAGCAATACAGTGAGAGCAGACTCCAAAGAGCAGCTCAACTCTTTGGATATTAGCTCTATTTGAGACTAGATTTTCTTCTAAACTCCCCAAATACCTCACATTTCTGTGGTTGATCTATGTACAAAGACAAAACACTACTGTAGCAATCTTTAAATTATTTCATCCTAATTACTTACACTACTTAAAAGCCAAATTTATACCTAGAAATTCAGACCTACTCCCCCAGAGCTGCTCCTGAGGAAAATGCTGATAATTCCTACAATTCCCCTGTTCAATTCTGTCCACTGCTGCTCCTGAGTAGGCATCCTACTA